GGCTTGGTTTGTTGAACAAAGCAGCAAATGTGGGCTGATGGCTGGGATTGCTTCCCACCTGCATGTACAGGAGTGGGAAATACCTGTGAATTGTTCAGCCTAGGAAATGGTACAGCCAGTTTATAAAAATAAATATACAAACAATAATCACTGATCCCTGCTCCGGGTTTGCATCCTGGGCATGGTCTCACTGTGTAATTCCAGCTGGGCACCAGGCTGAGTGAGACCAGAGCAGGGCCCAGCAGAAATAAATCATCTTTCCTTGATTGCAGTGGCTGGGTGAATTCAAACTTTATCTTGTGGCTGCATTTTTAGAGAGAAAATCCTAAGCCTGCACATTTCCCTTTGAACCCCTGGGCATTGGATGGTGCAGGGTCATTGTATGAGCTCCTCATGGTGCATTGAATTGCCAGGTGCTGGCTGGGGCTGGCAGCAGGGAAATGGGCACTGGTGTAATGAGCTCATTAAGAGCAGGTAATGACTTGTAAAGTCACTCAGGTGGATGCAATACCCATATCAGGTGTGCGGTTTCTCCCTTCACCATTGCCCTCTGGCATTGCTATAGGTATCATTGTTTCATTGTTTGTTTTTTTTATTCAGGAACAAAACCTGTGGGGAAGCCATTTGTTTCGAGAACAAGGATATTAAAATAATTTTATTTTTACTGAGTAAATGGGGAACAGCTCTCTATATAGCATTGGAACAGATTAAGTAGAAGGAGGGTAAAGGCAAAAAGAAGCCCTAATGCTGTAGGGCCACAGCCATGTCCCTGTGCCACCATTTCTGCTGCTTTGCTCGATCTGTAGCTGTTCTACACCCATCCCAGACCCTGCAGGCCCCAAATGCTGCAGAGCTCTGCAGCATCATTGGGGCTCAGTGCTGATGTGCCCCAGCGCCCGGGCTCTGCGTCTCCGCTAATGGCCGTCCCCTTCTCTGCCTTCCCAGGGACATCAAGCCTGACAACATCCTGCTGGACGAGCACGGTGAGTGCCGGTCGGGGTGCGTAAGAGCAGAGTTGGGAATCCTTTCATCCTTTGGTTGCCCTATTTCGCTTTTTGAGCAGCAATGTCGTGCCCCTTCAGGACAAGGGTACCCTGTGATGCTGCGGTGATTTTGGGGTGCATTAGCAGTTAACAAACACCCGATGGGGTCAGGGTGTTGGCAGGGGCCTCGCATTGTGCTGCCTGTGGTCAGGAGCCCAGACCTTACATTGAGAGCTCAGCTCTTGCTAAAAACTCGCTCAAAATGCAGCCATTTGAATAGAAGTGCTCATGTAATTGCAGGCTGTGTGTAATATATGCTCACAAACAGAATTCATTAGGGTTGAACAGATAATCTTCATTCAGATATTTTCGTTTTCCTTGAGCATTTGACATTGGGAGGGAGTTCTGAAGATGTGGGCCTGGGGATATTATAGACGTTGCTATCACTTTTTCTTCAGTCTTTTTCTCAGGCACAACTCTAATTATATTCTTGCATTATTCTCTAGACGCTTTCAGTCCTGGCAAAGTTCTCGCAGTGCAGAGTTGTCTGATATTTATTTATTAGCTTTTAACTCATGAGGAAAACACTTTGTCATTTCATATCTGGAAAATCCGTGGATCTGCTTCTTGTGACAACTCTTCATTAGCGACTACAGCGAGGCACGGGAAGGGAAGCAGCGCAGGGACGAGCCGTGCCCGGGTTCGTTATCGCTGTAACGGGGATGCCGATGCTTCGGGGGAAGCCGGGGCTCCGCGGGCACCACCAGGCTCTGCCGTTTGGACGTGGCCTCTGATTTCAGAGTGCCGGATAATTATTTATTTAGGAGCTGTCGGCAAAGCCGCTTCTACCCCAGCGCTGCAGTCTCCCCCGCAGGGACCCCCTGGCCCCAGCACCCACCCGTGCCCTGGTCCTGCTGCGCTGGGCTCTTCCGGCGCCGTGCGGGGCCGCGTCCGGTCGCTGCTCACCGCGGGCGCTCCCGGGTGCTCTGTCACCGTCACCCAGGAGCCGCTTGCCCAGGTGACGGCCACCGAGGGGCGCCGGGAGCAGCGGAGCCAGGGAAATGGGGCCAGCGCCACCCAGGGAGGGAAGGACGGGAGGACGGCTCTGCTTTGTGTCCGCGGAGCGTTCAGCTCGGCAGGACCTAACCTGCAGACTCCGCTAATGACTGCGGTTTGGGCTGGTTTCGAGCGGTCTCTGCTTGCTGTGAGGTTTTAGCTGGAGCCGTTTTCACTGGATGTGCCCTTGGCTTCAGCGTCCCCCCGTGACTGTGTCTTTTCTCCATCCCTGGCAGCAAAGCGGTGTCCTCTCATGCACACAGACAGCTTTGTGCTCGCTCAGGTCAGGTTTTTCTGTCCCCAGAGCAGCTGTTACTGTAGCACCTCCATTACTATTTGGCCTGGTAGGTTGTGCTTGGTTTTCAGTGTCTCCTTCCCCGTGGGTCGGAGCTGCAGCTCCTGTTCCCCCTCCTCTCCCTCCACCGGGCTTTCACAACCCCAATCACGAAATAATGCCCTTTCCTTCACCCTCCCACGTTCACACCTCAAAGGTGCCCGTGTCCACACCAACCACAGGCCCTTTTTGCAGGTGTTCACCACCAAGGCGGTGGCAGAGCCCTCGTGCTCATCATCTGTCCCTTGCGTAGGAGGAAGGCTCAGGTTTTTGGTGGTGCGAGAACATCTCGAGATGCTATCCATTGAAACGTGTTGTCCTGAACTCAACGTGGACATCGCGTGTTCGTGTCTGTCACCCTGGCTGGTGACATTCTGTATTGCCCTGTCACCTTCAGATGGGAGATTACAGAGGAATATCGGGCAAATGTCCTTCTGTGCAGTAAATCGAGCGGCTGTTTGACATCGGAGATTGGAATCAGGTCCCACAGTGAAAAATCCTCAGCCGATGACCACCTCCAGCAGCTGTTCAGGCACAAAGTGATTCTCTCCTTTAATGATCAGTCTATCGATTTGGCTCAATGACAGCACAGCTCACCTGAGAGCAGGAGAGTATAACAGATGGCATTTCCAGGAACTGCAGCTAATCCATCAGGAGGCTTTGGCCAGGTCTTTTGTCTCATAAAACTGAAGAAAAGCCCAGTTTTAGCTCTAGTGAAACTGAGAGGTTTTTCACAAGAGCCCTGCATGGCTTTGCTCAGTGTTATTTTTGTACCCATGCCAAAGGGTCTCGGGGCAGTGCTGAAATGGGTGAGTTTGTGCAATGCGGGCACTGTGCACATACCCCGTTTGTGCTTCCATCTCAGGTAAGGAGGCGATGGCACAAAATGTCCCAGGGCCTCCTCACCCACAGCTCCCTGTGACGCTGGTTTCGTGTTCCTTAAAGCGTTACCTTAGCTCAATCTGCAGAAGCCTCACGTTTTGCACAGAAGATACTATGGAAAGGGGAAGGAATTAGGTAGTAACAGAGTTGCTGGATATAATAAGACAATTCTGAATATAATAAGGGAATTCTTTGCCTTAATGCAGAAAAGGCGTGATCTGAATGGGCTGATTTCTGGCAGACGGGGTGAGCTGTGGGAAGGACACGGTGCCCGGAGCACAACTGCAGTGAGGGATGCTGAGAATTGGGAAAACTCTCTGTTTGACCCAAAAGCCCAGCCCCGCACCAGCCGCCTTCCGCAGCGCCGTGGGCTGGGTTTGGCGATTCCCCAGTGGGCAAGTTCATAAAACCTGTGATTTATTTGAAGTGAATCATTTAAAAGATGCTGCCAGAGAAAGGCAACGTTTGTGCTTGGAATATAAAAATCCTTATTGGGTCGTTGTGATCTGTGTTTATGGAAACAGCTCCCCGCAAAGTGGGGCGAGAGCTGGAGATGAAGGAGAAAAGGAAGGGCACAGAGGATGGATCCAGACAGGGCAGTTTTCAGTCGTTTTGACCATTCCTTGGTGCCGGCTGATGAGGTGCCCCCCTGGATTGGTAAAGCCATGAGGGCAGGAGGGGACGCGTTCTTGGCCATGTGAGATGCGAGGCTGGGTCTAAGCTGTTTCCTGTGTGAAATTAAATCTCGTCTCCCGTTAACTCTGCCTTCCAGGACACGTGCACATCACCGACTTCAACATCGCCACCATGCTGACTAAAGAGATCCAGGTCACCACCATTGCTGGCACCAAGCCCTACATGGGTAAGGACCGGCGGTGGTGCCTGTTCTGTATTGACATTGCAGAGGCTTGGTTTGGGAGCTGTGGTGGGATACAAAGCCATTTCTGATGGGTTTGAGCTTTTTCCATCCGGGCACGTAGCAAAACACACGTTTGAAATGAGGAAGCGGCTCCAGCGGTGCCGGGGTGGGGGAGCAAGGTGGGAGCCCCCAGTAACACCCCGGTGCAGCTGGAAAATGCATGTCCATGGCTGATTTCACACAACCACCCCTGCAAACACAGACCTCGGTGCTGTGGGGTCGCACTGCACGGCGTGGTTTGATCACAAAACGAGATAGTTACGCTCTGGAGACCCTGGAGCGTTTCGCAAGCAGCAGGAGCCATGGAGCAATGGTGAAATGCGTGTCTGCCCTTGAAGGAAAGCGAAGCACAAAGGCTGGACTTTGGTCCTGTACTGCTGCACAGTAGCACATCCTGCACTGCTGGCTCGTAACCTGAATTTTTGCATAAACTGGCTGCTTTAAAAACCGGCATTGCTCTGCGTTTAGTCCAAGCGAGTGGAGCCAAGACTCCCCATTTCCTGGGCTGCAGACCATCCCCTTCCTCTTCTTTCCTCACAAAAATTGCAGTGTTGAGGGAGCTTTTTACCCTCAGGCAGTGGCGTGGGACTGGTCCCAGTCAAGACACTGGTCAGGCAGCCATAGGATTGCATGTGGGGGCTGTTCTCCTGCGAAAAGGGGCTCTGCAGCGGGGATCACCCCACAGCAGCCTTGGGTCAGCACGAGGAACAGTTCTCAGGACTGTCCCCAAAATTTGCTTCTTTTTCTCTTCCCCTTTATAAGGAGAGTACAGGAAAGCCAGTTATGTTCAGATCAGCAAAGGGGCTGACTCAGACAGCGAGACCCAGTTGATACTCATCACACCAGCACAGTTAATAAACATAAGGCAGAATAACACAGATGTACCTGGGATGAACTGGGGCCAGAGCATGCGGGTGATGAGCAAGAGTTAACGCTAAAATACCCCGAGCTAGTGCTAAAAACTCCCGTGCAAATGTGACACAGAAACGTCTTTGTAACCATAAATTCACCTCCCCTAAGTGAAGTGAAACCCCTCAAAAGCGTCTCTGCACAGCTGACACAACCCCTCCATCACAAAACACACACTTCCATACACAATTTTTGATCTCTGCTCGGGATTGCACTGTGGCAAACTTTCCTTTATTGTGTCTTGCAGCACCCGAGATGTTCAACCCCACCAAACCCACGGGCTACTCCTTCGCTGTGGACTGGTGGTCGCTGGGCATCACTGCCTACGAGCTGCTGCGGACCCGGGTACTGCACCCACCCCATCCGCATCCGCATCCGCATCCGCTTCCGCATCCCCATCCCCATCCCCATCCTCATCCCCATCCTCATCCCCATCCCCATCCCTTCCAACCCATCCCATCCCATCTGTCCTTAAACTGCGCTGGGAATGGTGATGCTGCATAACAGGGATGGAGGGGCCCAGAGTTGGGGCTTTGGGGTTACGGCAGCGTGGGCAGCAGCAGAGACCAAATCTTCACCAGGGCCCCTGTGATTGCAGCTAACAGAAGCTGTCGCGATACAGATCAATGTGTCACGACGGCTTCCTGCTGCGCCTGGTCGGTGCAAGGCAAACAGAGCAGGTTAACAAGTGACAGCTCCGAGTCTGGTCTGTGATTTCGTTTGCTTTGAGCTCCCATCCCGCAAGGAATAAAAAGAAAATCAGACAAAAATGCCCCTGCTGTTGTAACCAGAGTGAGCAGCCTGAGCAAAGGCAAACCGCAGTGCGTAAATTGTTAATGAGGCACAACTGCTGCTGTCACATCGGTGCTCTGCTGCTGATCAGGTACGGCTGAGGCTTGTAAACAGGGGTTAGATTAGTGCTGTGTAGAAAAAGTGGGACAGAATTATTTACATCACCTTCTTCTAAGCAAAAGGTTGTTTAAAATGTCATGGGGCCAGGAAACTCATGAGTATTCAAAACACTTCTTTAAGAAACGCTGTCATCAGTCTTTGCAGAATGCCTAAGGAAGTGTTTAGATATATGTGTTTTAAAGAACAGATTTTCAGATGGACTCGAGTACCTCCAGTGGTGGGGCATACCCCAGTGCACACTATGGGGACGTGACTGTCTCACCTGTTGGGGACTGAAGCCGTGTGCCCCTGTGGATGCGCAACCGTGCACGGGGATGGCTCAGCCCCGTTTGCTGTGCCGCGGTCGCAGGGGCTGCTCGTGGGGGCACCATGGGCTTGTGACCCCTCCTGGGACGGTGTTTCCTCAGCCGATTCTGTAGGTGGGAGAAATTCACTGGCGTCGTCTCCAGCATCAGTGGAGAACTGCAAACAATGACACGTTTCACAGGGAATACAGGAATGCTTTAACGCACTGTGTGTATAAAATCCAATCTGATAGCCCTTTAAGATAGAAATACTGAAAAGGCCAAGCACACACAGGCTGGGTAATGACTCTGACCCCTGGGTTTTGCCTGCTCTCAGTCACACATTTAGGTATCTGGTTATTGCGGTCATTGCTGACATGGTTATTTAGTTTATTTCAACCGAGCGATGGTCACACAGGGAGAGGATTTCATCGGGAGGCTCGGGGAGCACACAAAGAGGCTTTGTCTGGGGCTGTTTGCTCTGAAGAGATTTCCCAAGGAGCCTGAAAGCCCAGCTAAATTCACGCGCTGTCCTTGTGGCGTTTTCCAGAGGCCGTATCACATTCGCGCCAACACGTCCACAACCGAAATCGCTCACGTGTTCAGGACAGCGACGGTGATGTACCCCGCGGCGTGGTCCAGGGACATGGTGGCGCTGATCAAGAAGGTGAGGGTGCTGCGGGGCTGGGCTGGGGGCACCTGGGGTCCTCCCACGGAGCTCTGGGCTGTGCGGTGAATTGCGGGGTTCACTGCGAGTTGTCGGGGCCGGGTGTCAGTGACCTCCAGGCGGTGCCGTGCAATGGGTGCCCAGGCACCACCCGGGCCAAGGGGGTGAGGTTTGGCAAGGCGGCCGCCACTGCGTCCCCTCAAGGGCACCCGCAGGCTTCTCCTCCAGAGCTCGTCCTACGGCGTTGTCCCTCCGGAACAACGTCACTTAAGAGTAGATATTGACATTTGTGTCAAAACTGGGGAAAAACACCCTATAATTTATTTTATTTTTAATTTCCCAATAATGAAAATATTTGCAAGAAGTGCTGATGCTACTGAAATCCTTCGATGCCGTGAAGTTTATGCACCACTGTAGCTGTTGTTTTTTTAATAAAGCTGTTATCAAAATTGCTTCCAAAGCATTACCGGAATCATTTTGAAGCTGGAATCGTGTTTGAAGTGAAGCCATCTCTTCAATAAACAAAACTCACTCGACAGCGTCAGACGCTGTTTGCATGCAGCGGCAGCAAAGCTGAAACACTGAACCCCCATAACAGCACTGGCTGCAAATTTAGGGAAGTGTGAAGTTCTCTAATTGTCAGAGAAGCACAGGCAATAAAGTTTTACAAATACTATATGTAAGAGTATTTTGTCCTCTGTAATGAAATACTCTCACAATTTGTAATAAAACGAGACATCAATTCTTTGCTGAGACAGGATCATGGCATATTTCCCAAGAAGAAATTTAGAGAGTACCTCCATGTGCTTAAAATGAAATGGAGCCAGTGTTTAATTAATCCTACTGGTAATACAGGGTTATTTACTGCAGGTGTCCTCTGCGTTGTTATTTTGGAGGTTTTTCTGTGGACCACAACACGCCACAAGCCATACAGGCTCCCTTGTGGGTAAATCATGCAGTGCCACAAGCATTTAAATGTCCATGTGCCCCTTTGCCCCTGGTTTATCAGCCAGATGTGGTGCATGTGAGGCCAGCTGTGGTCCTGTCCTTGCTCGCACATCTCTGGTGTATTTATTACTGCTCAATGGCACACAGCAGAGCGGTGTCACCAGCACTGGGACGGGAGCACCGTGTCCTGCCGTGACTCTGCCGCGGCCGTGCAGACCTCGCCTCGGGTGCCGCGTCCCGGGGCCTCCCATGCTCACCTCTCCCCTCACCTCTCTCTGCAGCTGCTCGAGCCCAACCCCGAGAAGCGTTTTTCCCAGCTGAAGGACATCCAGGCCTTCCCGTACCTGTCCGACGTCAACTGGGACGCTGTCCTCCAGAAGAGGATAATGCCTGAGTTCATCCCCACGGTAAGGCCGATGGCACCGGGTCCTGGGCAGGTCATACAGATTTCCATAAAAGCATCGGATGTCGAAAGAGACAGCACAAGGAGAGGCCAGGGCACAGTTTTCACCTTCCAGTGGGTGTAATGAACAGCAACAGGGGGGTGAATACGAAGCGCGGGTGCCCCACAGTTGACCCGCTGTGTGTACAGTGCCCCAGGATGTCTGGGTGCAGCGCTGGTCTGTGCACGGTGTGGTACATGGACCCACGGTGAGTGGCCATGGCTGAGCCCATGACCAGAGCTGGGCTCGTTAGCCCTGCAGATCACCCGCCATTCCATGGTAATTGCTTCCTCCCGTAATGACTCCCCCGAACAACCCCATCATTCATGCTAAAATAACGAGTACAGTGGATAAGTGTTTCTGATCCTTTTTTAATTGGATTAAAGCAGCACAGAAGTAACATGGACCCTTATGGGAAATAATCCAAGGACTGTTGTGTGCAGTGTCACTCTGGCTGTTTTTCAGCCTAACAAAAGTTGGGCTACATGATGGATATTTGTACTTGTATGTATTTCCACCCCCCCATTGCTGGTTTTCTCTGTGGTGGGTGTACACAGATCACTTCAAAACCAATTTAGACGGCTGCTGTGTTCTGGTGGCAGCAGCCCAGCCCAGTGTGCTGTCCCCAAAATACCATCCTCACCACCCCAACATACCGTCCTTGCTGTCCCCAAAATACCATCCTCACCATCCCCAACATACCGTCCTCACTGTCACCAAAATATTGTCCTTGCTGTCCTCGCCGGAGCAGTGAGCACAAAAAGAGCCATTGTCACACCTTGGCAACGTCCCCTGGCAGAGGGAGCTGATAAAATATGTAAGAAGTGCCCCAGGTGGTCTGGCCGTGTGTGAGCTGTAATTAGTTCATTTTTCACAAGTCAGCTCAGTGCAGCCCCACTTCTGAGCCCTGGTCGGGCTCTGAGCCCTGACTGCAGCCTCTCTCCCCAGAAAGGCAGACTGAACTGCGACCCGGCCTTCGAGCTGGAGGAGATGATCCTGGAGGCCAAACCCCTCCACAAGAAGAAGAAGCGCTTGGCGAAGAGGGAGAAAGACGCCAGCAGCAGCAACTCCTCGCAGGTGAGCGCAGGCACAAGCACACGGCCAAGGCAGTCTCTCATTTTCCAGGAGAGCTGCTTGCTGTCTAGCCACGCCACAGCAAACTGGTTAAACAGACCAGGTTTATCCTTGTGCCCAACTTTACTCCCAAGACCCTTCCGCAGCTCCCCTTTGGGAAAGGCAGCATGAGGGGAGTCTCAGTGCCGTCCTCCCCACTGCAAAGCTGGAGAAGCCCTTTAGCCGAAGTTGTAGAGATCCCTCCTTGAAATTGTCCTTCTTGTCTCTTTCTGTGCCAACTGTGAATTTATTCCCCTTCTCTTTGCTCCTGTTTGAACGGAAGGCCTGCCATCTTCAAAAGCACCTGGAGAGGCTCCAGAGGGACTTCATCGTCTTCAACAGAGAGAAGTGAGTCCTGATGCGGCGGCAGCCCTAGAGGCCTTGGGCTGGGGCCATCTCGGCAGGCACTGGGGGGGCAGGAGCTCGCCCATGGGCTGGGGGGGCAACACCAGTGACCTGTCATCTCTGGGGGCTGACGTGGCATCTCTGCTCTGGATCTGGAGGGCTGGGCTAATTTAATTGCATTAATTGCCTCTTTTGTGTCCAAGGGCAGTTACCGCAGGGGCCCGGGACCTTGGGGACCTTGGGCTGTGGGGGCCTGGCACAGCTCCCGCTGGGCAGGTGTGGCTCATGGTGGGTGCCCCCGGGAGGCCGCAGCTCTGTGTGGGCTGTGGCACCGCCTGGGCTCTCCCTCACAGTTTTGCCATCCCTTTCTCTCCCCAAGGGTGAGACACCACGGCAGTGACACCCAGGAGGCCATGACACCCACGAAAAGCTGCAGCACACACAGAGAGGACGCCCAGGACAACCTCTGAGCGCAGCACAGCCCCGCTGGAGCCTTTCCCATGGGGCCAGCGCACACCCACCCACCCACAGCCCCTCATGAACCCAGGCTACCGGACATGGCCACCACTGCCGGGGCCTCCCCTGCCTGCACCCCACGTCCAGCAGATCCAGGGCGGCTGTGGGTGCTGCCTCTGCAATTCGCCACTGTCAGACTGGGAACCTGTTATTTTACCTTCCTAGGTGGCAGGAACACGACTGTGAAAACAGCCCTGTGGGCTTGGCCAGCACCCCCGCCCCGGGCAGAGTGTGCAGCACCCATGGAGGTGCCATCGCTGGTGTGGGGCTTGGGGCGTCCGCAGCAGCACTGAGGGGGTCAGGGGTCCCACGGGGGCTCACCGCTGATGGCTCCGGCTGTAGGAGGCTGCTCTCTGCTGCAGGGTCCCACCAGCACAGGCCAAACACAGCCTTTGCTCACCAACACCTCCTGAGCCCAGGCAGGGAGGGCTGGGCATGGCCACCATCAGTCACCTTGGCTGGGGGCAGCGAAGGTTCCCGGCCCTTTCCCCCTCTCCCTGCACTGGTTCCTGTGCCTGTTTCTCATGGAGTGGGGCTGGCACGGGGGTGGTCAGAACGGGCAGACAGACGTGGACATGAGGAGGGGACAACCAGGGGAACAATGGCATCTGGACGCTTCTTCAGGCCCCCCTGCAAAGCCCGGCCACCGTCACATCAGACTGCGCAGCCCACTGAACCCAATGGGGCTTGGCTTCCAGCACCAGAGGTAAATTCAGATGTGTATTTTTAATCTCTCTGCCATTGAAATCACACTTGATTTAAGCAGCTACTGTTTGCAGGAATAACTGTACTCCTGGTGCGGTCTTTGCCAAGACTGAGATCAGCCAAAGCATTATTTCTATTACAGTAATATTGGGAATGATGCTTTTATTTAAATGCTTTGGCAGACCGGAGGTTTCACCTCCTTAGTTGGCATTTTCCAGTTCTCAGCAATATAACGAATGCACGAGGAACCGTTTGCCTCCCATGTACCCAAAGGTGTTCTTTGTATCCCCTGTGCCTTTCTTTCTGGCTAAAACTGATCCAGCTCCAAAAAACACCACCTGAATAAAGCTGGCAGCGAATGCAAAGCTCTTCCCCTGATGCTCAGAGCGCTGGCGAGGCCCTGCAGGGCTGGTGCACTGTGGTGCCTCCTGCCCATGCTGTGCCTGGTGTTCCCTGCTCGGTCGCAGCACAGCGTGCAGGGCTGGGGCCTGCAGAGCGGTGCTGGAGTTGGATCAGCAGTGAGGGGTGACCCCAGTCCCCAGAGTCACTGCAGCGGGAAGGCCACCACTGGTGCGGGCAGTGGAGAGGTTCCTGCACCATAAATGTGATTATCTGGGGAAAAAAATCCACTGCTGCATAAATACCATTGTATTGGCTGACAGAAACCCCACGCCCTCAAGAACTTACATGGTAAGAACATCACATTTTTAAAAATTACCCAAAGACTTCCAAACCCCTCTCTCTTTTCCCCTCTGCCTGTGACCAGGCACATTCTCAGCTTAGTCACAGGCACCAGGGAGTCTTTAATTACCTGATGGCAGAACCGCACAAAACTTCCAAGCATGAGCAGCCCTCCCCGGCCCTGGCACAGCGATTTTGGCACGGCCCTCGAGTGCTGCTGCAGAGGCACCTTGTCCTGTCCGAGCTGCAGGCGTGCCAAAATAAACATTGCAAGGTCAAATAATTAAAGGGGAAAAAAGGTGCATTTATTTAGCACAGCCTAAATTGACACTTGTCTTTCAGGTATTACAAAACTGAAGGGTGTGAGCCTTGGTTTGATACCTACCCCTTGACCAAGGGGAGCAGTTGGCTCACAGCACAGCCTCCGGGGTTTGCAAACGCTGCCCCACGCTGTTTCCTTTCCCCACAGCTGCATCAGCAGCACCACGCAGTTCCCACCCCACAGCCCATCCTCAAACACAGCCCGAACCCCCCCTGCAGCCCTGCTCGTCCCCAGGGCTCGGCTTCGCACCCTCCTGCCCCGCAGCAGCCCCAGGAAGAAAGAAGCCAAGCAGCAACTTGAAGGAACAACTTGTTTTTTTTTTAATAAAGTGTACAAAGTAGTAAAACTCCTTACGCGAGGCGCTGTGACGGCTGTTACAGAGATGTTTGGGCTCCCCATGGGCCTCGCGGTGAAACACCGAGCGCTGGGTGGAGATGGAGGGCACGGAGATGACACAGCCCCGCCTGCCCCGCGGCTGCGGTGGCCCTGCCCTCCCCGTCCCGCACCGCGCCCACACCGCGTCCTTCCCGCTGCCCCCACCGCGGCGTCCCCCACGCGTCCAACACGAACACCACACTGAACCGCGCGACCTGTCTGAGCGGCATGCATACAGAAAGGAGGGTGACAACACAACCCGACCAAACCCACAACAACAACGACGGAATGTTAAGGCTATGCATAAAACAAAATGAAGCAATATCCTTAAAGCTAGGTAGCAAGTAGCATTTGTGAAACATAAGGCTTGAGGCTTATTGATTCTTCAGAACAGGTTTATTTGCTTTTCCTTCTTAAACACCAATGTACCATTTTTCTTCCTTCGCTTGCACGGGGATTGACTCCTCCTCAGCCGGGATGTTTAGCTCAGGGAGGTGATGTTGGAGCGGCCTCCCGGGGGTGCGACAATGCGCTTGCTCGCTGAGCGAACGCCTTCGTCAACCTGGGTACCTGGGAGGGCACAAGGAGCACAAAGGGAGGGAAAGCGAAGTTAAAAGTGTTTTCTCAGCTCGCCCCACACCACCTCCCCGCTGCCCCTGTCCCTGAGCTCTCCCAGCCCCGACGCCGCAGCTGCTGACCTGAGAGGCTGAATCCAGACTGGTGGAGGTTCCTGACGGGGGGTGTCTGCCGTGTGGGGGACCCCCTGGTTGAGCCCGCAGGGGTGCCCCCTTTGGGGGTGGTGGTCAGGTCAAACACGGGTCCGTCGTACATGCCCCGCGGCACGGCGTGCATCTCCGCCATCTGTCACCGCAGAGGACAGTGACAGCTCTGCTCCCGGGGAGCGCCCTGCCCCGGCATCGCGCCCCAGCCGTCCTTGGCTCCCATCGCAGAGCCACTGACCATGCCAGACCCATGCCCCCATCCCACACACCCCAGGCCTCCCTGCAGCGCTGGGGCCTGGCACAGCCCCACCGCCCCTTGTGCCACAGCCTCCCTTCGCTCTCCCCCTGCACAGCACAACAGGCAATCCCTCAGCACAGGGTGATGCTGCACAGAGGGGAAGGAGAGGCCCATTTTGCCCATTCTGCTTGTTTCTATCTCGGTGCTTCCCTCCAGACTCCTGCAGCAGGACAGCAGCAAGGGCAGGCATCACCCGCTGCGCCCATTGCCTGCAGTGGGGGAACACCATTGGCATCAGGGTCAAAGCTCTGCCCACGCCTCAGCCATCCCAGCTGTGCTCAAAACACAGCCATGTGCAGCGCTGTTTTGGGGTACAGCAAGACCAGCAGAGGAAAAACACTCAGTTATCAGAGAAAAAGGCAGCCTGGGCCAACACTGCCCCAGCTCTTCCTGCTGCCATCCCTGTCTCCTCACCTTCCTCCTAGCTTTGATGCGCTTGTAGACGTAGTCAGGGAACGGGCTGCAGGGCAGGAAGCGCCCGGTGCCCTGGGTGACGTGCAGGTTGCCATCCTCCAGCATGATCTTGCCCTGGCAGATGACAACCAGCGGGGCCCCACGAAGCTCCATCCCCTCGAAGATGTTGTACTCAGCCACCTGCAGCGACCGGGGGTGACGGTGAGGAGGGACACAAGCACTGCCCGCCCACGCAGGGCCCTGCAGTCCCACATCTTGCTGCAGCACAGGCAGAGGACGCCTGCAATGGCCTCGCCTGCCCAGAGGTCTCCATCCTCCACCAGTCCACCACAGCAAGAACCCACCAGAGCTCCCAGCATGAACCAGGACCTGCTGCTGTGAAGCTCGGTGCGAGCAGGGACTCCAAAAACAGAGGGCAGGACCCAGGCTGAGGTAGGGCATGAACCAAGCACCCCAGCCCACCCCCTACGCATTGCTGCCCACCCCTTGTGCAGCGCTGCCCCCAGCCCACCTCCCACAACCCACCGACAAGCTGGGGGCTTACAGACTGGTGGGTTTTTGCCGTGACGATCTTCACTGCATCCGGATCCCATATGACCAGATCGCTGTCTGAGCCCACTGCTATTCTCCCTTTCCGTGGGTACAGGTTGAAGATTTTTGCAGCATTGGTGCTCGTCACAGCCACAAACTGGTTTTCGTCCATCTTTCCTGTGGCCTGCTCAGACATGAAGAGAGCGAAGCGGTCATTTGGGGAAAGAGAGAGTAAAAGTCCCAGGAAACACCGGACTCGCCCCCACAGAAGCCACTGGCCGTTGTGGCTGATCTTACTATGGGCACCAGACAGACCCAAAACTGGGGAACGGTCACTGCTCACCCCAACCCCGCAGCAGCTGCCTCAGCTCTGCCCTGTTTTGCCTCCCAAAGGCAGGGAGGGGGCAGGCAGGGGGTGCCCAGCTCTGTGGGGTCTGAGGTGC